ATTTTGAGGTGTGATAGGTGTAATGTTTCACGCCCACGGCAGCGTTGGTCCAAAGGTCGATCAATGGGCTCAACTTCATAGTTAACAGGACATGTTTGTCGCACCACACGGTAGGGGCCTTGGTATTTCAACGAAAGCTTCGGGGAAAGACCAAGAGGGGTAGACGGAACCCAGAGCCAAACCAGCATTCCTGGGGTTTAGTGAACACTAGACGCAGAGGCATCGTGGTCAGTTTTCTGGCGCCATTGGTCTTGTGCGGTAAATGAGCGAGCGAGTTGACGACACTTTTCGGCATAAGCAGCTGCTTCGGAAACATCAGGCCTGTAAGGGAGAATGGTGTCCATGGAGCATGATGGCTCACGTCCGTACAGGAGGAAGAAAGTAGAAAAGCCAGTGGTTGTTTGTGGCACAGAGTTGTACGCGTACGTGACAAAAGGGAGCACTTGGTCCCAATTAGTGTGGTCGTCAGAGGCGTAGATGGCAAGCATATCTTCAAGGGTGCGATTAAAGTGTTCTGTAATGCCATTGGTTGGAGGATGGTATGCCGAGGTTTTCCGATGGACAGTGTGACATGCCTTGAGCAGCTCGTCGACGGCGTTCGAGAGAAACACGCGTCCGCGGTCACTCTGTAATTCATGAGGTGCACCGTGTCAGCTGTGACAGCTGTGACAGAATCCATGGACATCGGCGTCGTATCAGAAGGGGCATCGAAAGGAAAGATGTCATCATAAGTGTCAAGACTCCCAATACATTCGCCATGCAGTAAGGTAGATAAGGTAGCAGGACAGGAGAACGGATTGCACACGTACATGGCACTGGAGCCATCGGCAAGTGTTATGACGGCAAACGGGACGACAAGGTTCCGGCGACGAGCGCATTCTTGTGACGGCATAAAGAGGGCAGTTGAATCGGAAACGGAGTTGCACAAAAGAGATACCGCGGCGACCAAAAAAGCAGAAATGACGACGTTAGCGGCGACGATAACCTTTTTGGGCGAGCGAGGGAGATCTATGAATGTCGTGCTGAATGGAAACAAAACGAGTTGAGCACGAGTGCAGTCGACAACCGCATGATTAGCGGAAAGAAAGTTCCATCCCGGGATGATTTCATGAGACGCATGCGGAAGGACGACAAACTCAACGATGCAAAGCACTCCTTGAATCACAACACGAGCAGTGCATGTGGCAGAAGGTTGGACGTGTTGCGAACTTGCTGTGCGTAAAGAAATTTCAACCAGTGGAGTCGTCACTTTGTTCAGTTTGCAGCATAACATTTCACTTTCTACACAAATGGCGGCACCTGTGTCGACAAGAGCAGTTGTGGCGAAACCGTCCACAAACAAGGAAATCTCGTTAGGGAACGAAAGATGAGGCCTTGGAAATTTCGTCGGTGGCGCAGCCCTTGCCTCAGGAACTGCGACTGTTAGTTTTCCTCCTGGGCGTGGTTGGAACGGCGAAGCATGGGGGAAGGAGACCGAAGACGGGTTGAAGGAGATCGACGTCGGCTGAAGTCTGGTCGACGTGAGTGGGGGTCATGCATGAGGTGTCACATGCGATTCTGATTGCCGAGCTATGTTGCCGGAATCAGAATCCACGGTGACGACAGTAGCGCGCGACATGTCCTGGAATGCCGCAATTGTAGCAGACTGGCCAGTTATCCGGAGTACACCAAGAGTTTACAGGTACTCGAGGTGGTGGAAAGAGCCGATTTACCGGATAAACCGAAACTGGTCACCTGTAGTAGTTGGTGGCTGGACTGTATGAAGGGAGCGGCAGTTGGGCAGGAGGTCGGCGGACGGCTTCTGCCTAAATCAGTGGTGCAGCAACTGATATTGGGGACGCGGTCGAAGGGAGAGCCTCGGCAACTTGCGTCTGATTAGCACGGCGAAGTGAGTGGTCCAGTGCTGTGGGAACCTCATTGATGGTGGCGACAAGAGAGAGCTGTCGAGCAACTACCTCCCGGATGTACTGTTGAATTTGAGGCATTAACACGCTGTAGTCGGGGCCACTCCGTTTGCACTCCAAAGTCGAAATATCCCCTGTTTGCATTTTAGCGAGACGTGTAGAAATACGCTGCTTGCGCAGCTCATCAAAACTTTGACATAGCTAAATCATGGCGGTGACGGTCTGTGGGTCTTTGGCCGCAAGCATATGAAAGGCATCGTTATCAATGCCTTTCGATATAATCTTTATTCTGTCAGCCTCCGTCATCGTCGCATCAACTCGCCTACAGAGGCTGATCACATCCTCAATGTAGCTCGTGAAGCTCTCACCATTTCGCTGAAATCGTCCCCACAGGCCCAGTTCATCGCGAAGCTTGTGCATGTCTGGACGACTGAAAAACGAGGTCACGGCCTCTTTGAAAACCAACCATGGGTGGGGTTGTTGACTTGGTGGTTGGTGAACCATAGGTTGGCCAAATCCGTCAGGTAGAAGATGACGTGAGTCAGCTTCGCAGGGTCATCCCACTTGTTAATCGCACTGGCACGCTCGTACTATGCCAGCCAGTCCTCGACATCATGATCTTCAGTGCCGTTGTACACTGGTGGGTCACGCAGACGAAATACACCAGGGCACATGACAGGCGGCAGCGTGGAAGAGGCTTGTGGGGGATCGACGCGCTCGGTCATCGCGGACTGAGATGGTAGCTCACGGCTGTGGAGCTCCAGGACGTTACCCAGCACCTCCACCAAATGCAACGAGTGAGGTTGCTTAAAAAGACAGGTTACTATTCGAGAAGCGTTAGTCGCAAGAAGCTGGTACAGGCAGGAACTCGGCAAGCACGAGCCACACACGGACGTCAACGTCTTTTTTCACACTGGCACAGAGCTGGCGCCACTATGCTCCGCTACAATATATATATATATATATATAATATATATATATATATATATATATATATATATATATATATATATATATATATATATATATATATATATAAATTGGACAGATAGCTAGCAATCTTGCGTCAGCTTGTGCTCTCGTATAACAGCTTGGTCGTTCGGACTTGGACACAGTTCCTCTAGTTTCAACTAAAACCTCTAGAACTTCACAAAGTAGCAATTCCCCTCCTCCGCTCGCGTTTCAAACGTGACGCCACCTGCTTTGCTCTTGCATAGCAGACACCCTTCCACGAAACGAGCGCTTGCTCGGCAGACAGCGCGATGAGAGCATTCGCACCAGTCGTCTAACTCAACCTAAAACTATCTTAACGAGTGTAGCGTTAGCCCATGTCAGCTCTGTTTAGTGCCACACGCAATGCGTACTCGTGATCAGGCCTTGATTAAGTCACTCGGCATCGCAGTGACCAGATGTTAACTTTGTGCGTACCACCTTTCAGTATGTTTTTAAACGTAAAATGTAATTATTAGTGAGAACACCTGTTTTTGTTTTCTTGGCCCATCGTTCAAGCCGTCTTAGAATATGTTTTACAGTGTAAAGACCATTGCTGAAACCTTCATGTGCGGCTGCTATGTCTTACCTTTCTGTTAATTCGCACGATAGTGCCCGATAGGACAGTGCGACTGTCTTTTTTAACTCAGAGCAGGGGTGATGCAAGCTTCCCCGTATATTGGGTACACAATATGTGCAGAGAGCATTCACAGTGACTGGGGCCATGCAGTCAAAGCAACAGCTCGCGTTGACACTGTCGACGTGAAATGGCGATGTTGCCGACGGCCAATTCTAGCTTTTGGGGAGGCATTTAAGGCGTTAGTAATGTGTCAAAAGGCGCACAGGTGATACACTCGAACAGCTGTGGTTGTTTCGGGAAGTAGTTAGACGCCGCAATAACATCTCAGAAGTGCGCCTTGTGGACGTATCTCACATAATAACTATTTTGCTGATAGAATGCAGCTAACGTATCAATGAACTAGCGTGCTATCATACGTGATTATTTCGCGAGAGCTCCACTACAGGATAAAAACCTTCACACGAAATAGCACATAAACTATCATGCGAAATGACACGCATGTGTGAAGTTCCTAAACACTGCCCACACCCAATTACTCGAATGCATGCACGCTTTGCATAAGTGCTTTTGCATCGCGAGACCCCAGGCTGATCGGTTAACGTGAAAGAGCCACAGAAAGGAATTTGCTCTGAAATTTACGAGCACGCCACAAAATCTAATGGAGACTACCAATCTTAACTCTTTGCAGCCCGTTGTCGGGCAGTGTCGGGAGTGCCCGACAACGCCACACTGCCGTAGCGGTCCGCAGTCGGGCAACGCCTGACGAGTGTGTTCCCCGTTCATATTTCGCGATTTTCCCACTGCAAGTCGCCGCATAATTCTTAAATATATGCAGCGCCATCTCTTGAAAAATAAGTGACCTTTGTTTGTTGAAGTTTAGGTTTTTTTTTCTTACTCTAGGATGCAGCACTATGTTCAGCACGGAACTTAAGAGAGTATCCACTCGCGAGTGGCTCGTTGAGAAGCATGGCCACATTTTCACCGCGTGCGTTTTATAGTGGCGCTTTTAGCAAAAGTGAAGATGACTTAAGTGAGGAAGATAATTACTGCCCCCATCAGAGAGGGATGACTGGGATTCAACCGAAGTGAGTCACGAAGACGATGACGATGGCGATGGAGACAAGACGTCTGTTGACACACAGGGTAACAGTGCGTGACCGCGTGCTGCGGACTGGAAGGTTTATTTGGATAATTGCCTGATTGCACTGCCTGATTTCACACGTTTTCCCTTCACTGTGATGAACCCAGGATCACAAGTAAGCGCTTCCAATCACAACAATGAACTGAATTATTTTCAGCTGTTTTTTACCGACCAGCTGATGAACAATATTGTGTGCGAAACAAACCGCTATGCGCGTGAAAAACTTTCAAGTGCTGGTGAGCTACCAAAGGAGTTCATTTGGAAGCACTAGGAAGACGTGACTTTAACAGAATTCAAAGCTTTTTTTTTTTGGTGTAATTATAAACATGGCCTTGAATCCAAAAGCGGAGTAAAGGAGTGTTTTAGCCAAGATATTGTAAACAAAATGCCTTTCTTCCCGCACGTGTTCTGCCGGAAGAGATTTCTGCAAATTTATTGGACGTTGTACGTTGCCTCATGCCATGATGCCTCTTCAGGTCAGCCGTCAACTCGTGGAAGCGAAATTGGAGACGTTCTGCAGTACATCGACGCGAAATGTCGAGAGCATTTCAGAGCCGGCCCCAAGATTTGCATCGACGAGAGCACCGTTGGATTCAAGGACAGTGTATCTTTCAGAAGCTACTATCCACAGAAGTCAACCAAATCGGGCATGCATATTTACGCACTTGCCGACTACCAAACGGGGTACATTTCGGCATTTGAGCCCTGCTACGGCAGCACAACAACTGACAGTCTCAGCTGCCCCGAGCTGCCCTTCACCTGCCAGATTGTTCTGCAGCTGCTCCAGAAAGTGCAACAAGATACGCCGGGGAGTGGCTACTATCTCCGTACCGACAGATTTTACACTTCGCCAATGCTTGCCGAGGAGATAATTAGACAGAAAATATTATTGACAGGTCCCGTGATGCCGAATCGCAAGCAAATGTCACAGCAGGTCAAAAAGAAGCTAAACAAAAGTGAAGTGGCAGTTTACAGAAAAGGAGACTCCTACATGGTGCTTCCTTGGAGAGACAAACGTCAAGTCGCCATGCTTACTTCTGCCGACAATGTATCTATGAAAGAAGTCACGAAGACACAACAGGAAGAAAGTGACGATGAATAAACCGGTGGTTATATGTGACTACACAGAAAACATGGGTGCAGTTGACCGTGCGTAAGATTACTGTGCGAGCTACGCACTTTGTCACAAGACGATGAATTGTTGGCGCAAGCTTTCATCGACAACAGTTTTATTTTGATGTGCATAGAGCTGCAGATAGATGGCCAGTACGAACAGTGATACCTTCAGTACCATCGCAACTTCATCCAACCGCTTGTGGGTGACGTCAGGGCTGGAGCCCGAAAGCGGGGCTTGTCTGCATGGAACGATTGTGAAGAAAAGCTAGATGGAAGGAGCCACTTCATCTACAAGCTCCTAGGACGAAACAGCAAGGACTGCGCCATTTCCAGCTATAGGCAAACAAAACGAGGCAGAAGGGAAACTGTGTTTTTCTATAAAACCTGCAGGAAAGTGTGTAAGCAGAAGCTACATAACTTTTTTTAAAACTTGGCCCCTGGTCTTGTTCAAGAAGATCATGTGAACCCGCGGAAGAATATCAGAGCTGTTCACACAACAGATCAGAAGACAGTACAAAACCTACTTGGTCTATCGCATCTCTGTGGTGTCAACACACGGGCTTTTTTACCGCAGGGCACGAATGTAACAGCTGGCGTTATAACTTACGTCGACACAGAACTTCAAGATGACGTTTTGAAGAGCCTTATCGTTTGCACGCCTCCGTGCAAAATCATCAACCTCCGCAGACTATAAGCTCGTCAAAGTGTGTAAAAATTGATTTCGAATGTGAAAAGCTTCCTAATCACATAAAGGCTAGTTTAGTGCGATACCCAGTTCGACCTTTCGTACCAAGGCCCTTACAGTGTCGAAAATGCCTGTAGCATGGACATGTCCAGAGTTTCTTCCCAAGTGTTTTGGTTTGTGCCAAATATGGTGGAACGGCCAACGTATTGTTTTGTGACAGCTCGACATATCAGTGCCCTAACTGTAACGGTGAGCACTTGGCAGCAGACAAAGAATGTCCCATCCTAAAGAAAAAAAAATTGAAGGTTCTGAAAAAAAATAGCCAAAGATAAAGCATTGGGAGAGAAGATTCTCAACCGCAGTACGAGTCTACCCTCTGTAGAAGGCAAAACTGATGTACCTACACTTTCGAAGTATAGTACTAAAAGCGTACGCCAGAGTAAAGAGCAGAAGCGCAACTTCTTTATCTCGAAAACATCGTGGCTGGCGCTTCCACAGAAAATGTCCGAGGCAGTCTCTGAAAAGATCGCTTCACGCAAAGCATCGGATCCAGCTTCTACGAAGAACCCACCTATGGTGAAAAACATTACACACAAAACGGAATCTACGAAAGATGATGCCCAGCTCATCAACCTACTTAAGATGCTGATCAATGTCATTAGATCACTGATTGCCGGTAGCCAGACACTAGCAGCACTAGCCGCAGAACAGCTTTTGGAGGCGCTCGTCCCAGTTCTCGACGACCTTCACAAAAAACAGTAGGAACAGTCGAACGCCCCGCCCCTTCGTGCTGCAGTGGAATGTCCGATCATTACCTTTATAGACGTTTTTCATGTGACCATTTAAATTTTTTGCGTATGCGTTCCCCCCCCCCCCCCTCTTTCTAAACTTTCCTCTTATCTCTCCCTCTTTTTTCCCTTATTTCCTGTATGCCTCCCCTTCCCGAAGGAGCAGGCAGGCTTTGTGCCCCTATATAGGGCAGTTGTCAGCCTGTTCCCGCCTTATTTCCTCCATCTTCGTGTTCACTAACCAAATAAATAAGTAATAAATAACAACCCCGGCCTGCACGCAGGAGAATGCTTTGAGCGGTATCACACGCTGTGTAAATATCGCTAAAAGAGTGGACTGTAGAATGCAAGAGCAAAAATAAATATCCTGTGAATTTTTCTTCCGCAGTTCGTGTTTTTTTTTCGCGGCGCCATAAACTGGCAAAATAGTTTCAGACTGGCAGAGGCGGAAAGTGGGTAAACGTTTTGGACTGCAGAGGGTTGATGTGAGTTGCTGCAATTCACTTTTGTTTATTTAAAACAGCAACGCGAAACCTCTGAAGTTACGAAATCACAATTTCGAGCATCTTTTCACGTACATTCTAAGCGCACAAACCAGTACCGCGAACATAAACCAGTCGGCGCATAACGACAAGCACAACATATAAGCATGTGTTGTGCACAGAAAGTATTAAAACAGGCCCCACCGAAGCATTAATGAAACCTGAGCGAGAGATCGCGATGTCCTGCACAATTAACTGCGACTTGTCTGAGGCGTTAGAGCAGGCATCGAATTGAGTAAACATCCAACCATACTCATTCGTGCTACTTACTTCGAAAAGTGAACTTGAAATTGTCGACCTGTAGTTCTCATTACCGATTCTACGTGACCATGTCTTTTGTCGCAACTCGTTGCACCTAACGGGTGGTATCATAAAGAACTTTCGGCAATCGCTAGACTTGTTTAGGCAGCAGAAAGCGCAACAGTCACCCACGGCAACGAACAGCGATGCCTATCTTGGATGAAAAGTATTTCACAGCACAGGGCACACGGAAAGGCAAGTTAGTATCCGTCAAAATAGATGTCAAAGAGTCCGCGCCTTCATAGCAAAGATGGCAGTCGCCAGCGATTGTAAACAACTATAGTGTACTAGAATATGACCTAGTCTCGTGACTGGCCGGCCACGGCTACTGTCTCAGTAGTCCAAAACGCACAGGCGGCTAAAATTTCTCGCGGCGCCACCGCGTCTTTTCATGTCGTGTGAGCGAGGAGAGCGCGCGCCGGCGGCGTCTTCTCTGGATAGCGCGGGCAGCACGAGAGTCAAACAAGTCGTGCGCGTAGTATGTGTGTGAGCTTGGCTCGTTAAGCCACCGCCACCTGATGAAACGTCGTCAAGGGCTGGAAGCTCTACCTCATATGTCAACAGGCTGACGACGCTGGTTGCGTTGTTCGCTGTGGTGGCACACAACGCAACCGACGCCGGCTTTCGTCGGCGCCTTCGCATCGGCGTTGCAGCCCCTGCAGCATTACCGCGCTGCGACGAGAAACAAGAAATGTTGCATTGTTTTCTATGTGCCGTCGGGCTCTTCGGAGTTATGATGTGTGCTGCTTGTGGTTGCGCTCGTGTTCGCTGACGAGTGACCAGATTGCGAGCGGCTGCGGTGCCAAGAAAGTGTTGTGTTCACATTTCTGCGGAACTCGTGAAGATGGGCTGCGAGTGTATGTTTTTGTGTTTCCGACTGATCGAGGCACGTGGAATGCATAGATACGGGCTATCCTAAGGGATAGTCTCAGCACAGCAAAACACGAAAAAGTAAATATGCTGCTTTTCTTTCATTTCGTGTATTGTGATACATATATAGAGTACCGTGTAATTCTGTGTCACTTGTGTGCCATGCGCGCGTTTCGAAGTACGCGTCAAGGCCAATACCAAAAACGGGAATCATAATGCTGTCGCTTTCTTGTCATTCGCAGATGTTCGACATAAATTTTAGCCTGAGTGATATAGACGAGAGGGCCAGCAATAGCCAGAACGAAATCCTAGCACACGCGACACATGCTTTTTATTCCTTCGGTCCGATATGTAGGGTTTTAACGTCCCAAAACCACGATATGATTATGAGAGACGCCGTAGTGGAGGGCTCCGAAAATTTCGACCACCTGGGGTTGTTTAACGTGCACCCAAATCTGAGCACACGGGCCTACGACATTTCCGCCTCCATCGCAAATGCAGCCGCCGCAGCCGGGATTTGAACCCGTGACCTGCGGGTCAGCAGCCGAGTACCTTAGCCACTAGACCACCGCGGCGGGGTTATTCCTTCGGTCCATGTGCGTGCTTCTCAACAAGAGTTCTTGCGGGATGCGGGCCGCGTTGGAGAGCGAAGCCGATGAGCGTCCCTTGCAGGCCAGATTGTTACATTTCCAGTTCTAACAAGCTACTCTACTGCAGGTGTGCTGGTGCAATCTGCTGCCTTCTCTCGCCAGTGCCAGGGTGGAGTCTGTACTTTGTGAGATATACCGCACCAACAAACATGTAGCTCGCGACATGTCAAAGTGGAGAGCGGATTCTCATTGCTTTGCTTCGGGTTGCCCAACCGGTAACCGGGGCGCTCAGAAGGCGTCGCTGTTTGCAGCTCTCAGGGATGGCGATCTCCGCAGTAAGTGAGAGCGCAACCTCCAGAGGGCTGACAAGCATCTGACCGAAACTTCAGCGGTGTGTGAACATCATTTCGAGCCAAGATACATCCTGCGCAAAAAAATTGGCCCTGTGTCTGCATGTTAATCTGCAAATGTCGTCTAACGACGATAGTCTTGCGTGTGGAGAGAGTGAACAAATGATTATTTGATGTTCTGCGCAAGAAAATCGGTTAATGCTATTCTGGAGGCGCGGCGCTAGAGCGACTAGAGCATGCAGCGGAGGCGAACGAGCGCATCAAGTCACGTGACACGTGAGACATGAGTGCTATCTGGCAGTTTTATTGGAAATTGAAGTGACGCGCGGCTCTGAGACGAGCGTGTGCGCCCGTCTTAGATGTGATAAGATGCAGAAAGCAAGGCGACGGGGAGGTGCCACCACCGTGTCGTCTTAGCAAAGCGTTTGAAACACTCGCCTTTTCGTGCAAGCGTTGCATGGCCAGCGCAGCCTGATAAACCCTACGGTCCTTAGAATTACTTATGTATGCCTTTTTCCAGTAAAAGACGCACATACAGAATATATACGTGTTGTTATGGTGCCTCAGATATGCGCAATAATTGCTTTTTAAGTGACAATCGCACCAGTATGAACGCTGAATCTTGAGCAACATTGGTGGGCGCTGCGAGTGGGGTCGGCCATCTGGGGTACCGGCTGATGCCGTTCAGAGTACCCGGTACAGTTAAGGGTGGACAAACAGACAAAAGTACAGACAGACAGACAGACGGACAGACAGATCATTTTTTTTGCGTCGAAGGTCCCCAAGAAAGACTATCGTCTTTAATATGTACACGTGATAAACGCCATACAAGTGCGCATTCTCAGAGGAAAACCATCACTG